CAGCCTGATAAGACTAATTTGGCCATTAATTTTTAGATTCTATTGCTTTAATTTCAAAATAGCCGATTTTTAACCCATGTGCACCCAGTTTTTTGCACATCTTGCTAAATGCAGCTAGTAACAACTAACATACGTTTATCAACATTCTGTTATCTAGTTTCTCCTTCTAGAGATTTGGGCTTAGCAAGTCTTTGGTGTGACTTCCAAGTTATCACGTATTATGATTTCACCCAATATTTTGCCACTGTACAACTTGGGTATCCATATCTCTAGTTTTCAGTGTTAGCTTATTCACTTCATATAAATTGACCACTAAGCAAACTATGCAGTAAAGTTTTTCATTATAGATGAATTCCACTTCAAAAGACAGTTTCTATATTCATTATTCTGGTGTTATCTGCTGTTACAAATGCACTCCAGTCTTTCTGTGACTTAAAACAACAAATGCTCATTTTTCACTTATGTAACAGTTCTATGTAAGTATTGGAAGATACAAGTAACTTTCCTTCACATGGTGCCTCAGAAAACACAAAATGTCTTTCTTCTGTTAACTCTTTCAAGAAAGAGAAAGTGTAGAAGGCACTCTGGACTCATAACCTCCATGGTTCAAAGTGTCATACAGCTCTGACTTACCTATGAGGTACAGTAGTCCCAAGGCCTGTGTCTTATGATATTTTTATGAGCCCATATGTTTTAATTTAAATTGATTTTTTAAAAGAAGAAAAATGAACGTAATAATAACAGACATACGATTATGATTTGAACCTAGATTATATTCATTTTTGTATCAACGCAGTCATAACATACAATTTTATGGAGAAAGAGGTTTATGAGGTCAAAATACGTAGGGTCTTTGCAAATAGCTTTGTGGCCCTGGTCATATTCTGCCCATTTTTCTTTGATGGGAACTATATTAGCTTCTGATGGCTTCTGTAACAAATTACTACAAACTCAAGGGCTTAAAATGAGAGAAACTGATTTCCTTATAGTTTTGGAGGTCAGAAACAGAAAACATATTTTCTGGACAGAAACATACATGCCAACAGATGTGTTCCCTATCTGGAGGCACTAGAAGAGAATCAATTCCCTTGTCCTTTTCAACTTCAAGTGCAGCATACCTTGCATTCCTTGAACTATAGCCCCTTCATCCAACCTCAAATCCAGCAACACAGCATCTTCAAATCTCTCTCTGACTTCATCATTACACTACCTTTGTGAGAAAATATCCCATTGTCTCCCTCTTAAAGGTTCACTTGTGATTACATTTAGGACTCATCTGAGTAATACAAAATAATCACTCAAAATCCTTAACTTTCTTCATTGACAAAGTCCCTTTCGCCATATAAAGTACGATTAATAGGTTCCACAGATTAGGATGTATATACCTTTAGGGACCATTGTTTAGTTTACCATGAGTACTGATCACATTAATGCATTTGATTGCATAGGGATGGATAGAAAATGTAGTCCCTCATTGGGTGCATTTACCAGAAATAACCCTTCACTATGGAGGTAGGAGCAGGACAGCTAGTTGCCTCTGCCACATTCCTGCATAGGGTTGTCATAAAAATTGAGATAATATGTACAAAACGCTTAGCATACTGACTGCAACATAGTAAACTCTTGATATATCATATCTATTATTGTTCTGGTCAAATTAAATGTGTTAATTTGCACTCTTCCATTCTATCTCTTTGTTCATTTTTGTTATTCTAAAAGTTAACTTTTACTAACCATAGATAATTATTGTGAGAGAATATAAATTCATATTCCCCCAAATTTTGATGATTTAAAATTGTTTTAACCAGCTCCTTGATAAATCTCTGATCTGAGAAAATCTGCATTTATATATTTATGCATACTCATTTATTATAAATTTACATATTTATTGATATATCTAATTTCTATTTTTTTCTTTCTGCTTCCCAGTCAGGCATCTTGTGCACATCAGAATATGCTTTCATTTATTCAGAGAACACCAACTTAATGTTCATAAAACTTGGCTCTCGAGTGATTTTTAGGCCTAGTTAGGGAAAGCTAATATGCTTATTTCATATTCCTCACAAGGTTTAGTACAAGGTTTGTCCCATGCTATCCAGGACACTTTATTATGTGTAGAATATTTTTTTAGGAATGCAAAAGCAAATTTGTAAGTTTGTTTTGTTTTGTTAAAAAAATATTTCAACCACCTTTAAGAGTACAATTATTGATACTGGGAAAGGATATTGGGCAAGTTATATTGCTAAATTTTGTGCACATAATATGTGCCCAAACAAACCCCACCATTATATACCACTATAATGTACCAATAAAAATATGGATAAAGTACAATTATTGGCATCAGGTAAATTCACAATGTTGGGCAATTATTACCACTCTCCATTTCTGGAATATTTTTATCATCCCAAATTAAAACAATACTGATTAAACAACAACTCCCCTTTCTCACTACTATCATCACCACCTTCCTCATGTGAATTCTATTCTACCATCTGACTCAATGAGTTTGAATATTCCAGGAACCTCATCTAAGTGAAACCACATAATATTTGTCCTTTCATAGATTATTTCACTTAGAATGATTTCAAGGTTCATTCCTATTATAGGTTTTGTCAGAACTTCATTTTTGTGGCTGAATTTCATTGAATGTATGCAACACATTATTTTCATTTAGTCATCTGTTAATGAACATCTAGGTTTTGCCTATCGTGAATGATGCTTCTAAGAACATTGGTATACAAGCATTGGTTTGAGTCATTGCCTTCAGTTCTTTAGGATAGCTACCTTGAAGCAAAGTTGCTGGACACTTCAGTAATTCTATGTTTAATATTTTAAGGAAATACCAAACTGTTTTCCACGGAATTTGTACATTTGTTCATTCCCATTAACAATATCCAAGCATTCCTACTTCTCTACATCTTCTCCAACACTTCTTTTCCATTATTTAAAATAGTACTTATCCTAATGGGTATAAAATACTGTCCCTTTATGATTTCAGTCTGCATTTCCCTAAGACTATGATGTTCAGCATCTTTTCAGTGCTTTCTGGCCATTTTTATATCTTCCTAGTAGAAATAAAAATAAGGGGCTGGGGATGTGGCTCAAGCGGTAGTGCGCTTGCCTGCCATGCGTGCGGCCTGGGTTCGATCCTCAGCACCACATACAAACAAAGATGTTGTGTCTGCCAAGAACTGAAAAATAAATATCAAAAAAAATTTCTCTCTCTCTCTCTCTCTCTCTCTCTCTCTCTCTCTCTCCTCTTTCTTTTAAAAAAGAAAAGAAATAAAAATAAAATTAAAATTTTCCCATATTTTAATTGGGTGATTTTCATTGTTGCTGTTATTGAATTATAGGAGTTCTTTATATATTCTGGATAATAATTTCTTATCAGAAATTATCTGAAAATATTTTATACAATTATCTGGTGGTTTCTTCACTCTCTTGAGTAAGTCTTTTGATACACAAAACTCTTTTCATCCAAATTAGGTAACCTTGCCTCAGAGGTGTATATCACTTTCTCAAACTACTTAATTAACCTTGCCTATCAAGGAATTTGCAATCATTTTCTAAGGACCAGATTAAAAATCACTGTGAGGGAACTACACAAAGTCAATCAATTTGACACCCCTGGATGGAGATCATTTATCTTATTCATTAACTTGAGTTTTCTCTGCACCAAAGAAATTTATGCCAGAGGCCAAGAAAGCCTTTGTGTACTTTTTTGGAGGGACTTAGTCCTCTAGACCCAAGACCTGATCATCAATTCCAAAGTAACTTTCACCCTCTTGAAGTTTGCTCTGATGTCTCAGTGTTCCTAAAGCACATGAATACATTAGTAATGGATGTAACTTAAAATGCATGCATCCTCAGAGCAGACTTATTGTTTCATCTTTGTCTCCTTTTAGTCATGGGTCTTGGGCATGGCTTCCACTTAGGCACACATATCAGAGACTACTTTAAAGCTCATATCTCCAGGAAAAAATACATTTCCATATTCCAGTAGAAACCACTGTACCATATTCCTGTTCCACCCACTGTAAACAGCAGTGATTAGCAAATATACCAGCCTTTGAAAAAGGAACCTACAACCTGTTTCTGACCTGTCTCCTCTATCTGCCTATGCTGAGTCCCAAGTGAAGAGGCCAAAATAAATTCCAGATAATTATAATATCTTGCCTTAATTTCTAGGATGTCATCTTGGATGTCTGAAACCTGTATGGATAAGCCATACATCCAACATAGTATTTTAGAATAGAAGCAAAGGTTTAGAGAAGTGTGGAAGTACATGTACATGAGGATAACCTCATAGAAACCCTGGAAGCCCCACATGGTGTAGGGAGAGTAGCTGAGTCTTTATGTCCCAAGGGGTACCCTAAAACATTAAAGAAGAACCAGAGAATTGAAAGAAAGCTTGAGTGGGCATCAAGAGAATGTTATATTAAAAGGCCCCTATGAAGGTCAGGGCAGGTCATACACAAATGGAACCAATGCCTGTGGAGATGGACAGCAGCCACTGTGGAAAGGAAATATTAGCAGAAGCCAATGTAAACGAATGTTCACTACCTTGGACAAGAAATTTATCCCCTGATATCAAGCCAATTCATGAGTAAATCTTACCTTTTATGTTAGTTAAATCATCATGAGGTAGTAATAAAAAGGTGGGAAAAATCTTGATTTGGGCCATATAGTCAACCAAAGAGGAAGGAAATTTTAATAAATGACTAAAGAAGTTGATATGCTATTAGAAGAGTTGCATGGTCAAGATAAATGTTCAGTGAAGTTATAGGAAAATAAAGTAACATTTTTTTTTCAATTCCATAAGCTACTTCAGATAAATGTTCACAACATCATTACTCATGATATTAGGGAGCCTGAGAACAAGATTATATTGTATCTATCTATCTATCTATCTACCTACCTATCTATGTAGAGAGAAATATAAATATATATATATATAGAGAGAGAGAGAGAGAGAGAGGAATTTTAGAAAATTAACTTACATGATTGTGGAGGTTGACAAGTCTGAAATCAGCAAGGCTGGCAGGATGGAATCCCAGGAAAGAGTTTATGTTGCATTGTCAGGTTCAAAGCAGTCTGGAGGTAAATTTTTGTCTTTTTTCAAAGACTTCATTCCTTTTTCATAAAACCTTCAACTGAAGGGTAATCTGCTTCACTCAAAGTTTATTGATTAAAATGTTCATCACATTTAATAACACCTTCACAGCAACCCCAAACTGGACATTATAGCCTAGCAAAGTAGACATATAAAATTACCTATCACAGTCATCATAACAAAGAATAATTTCAGACAATATGTGCACAGAGTACTTGGCCCCCCAAATATACTAATGTTTATTTTATATGATGTAGCCCATCACTTTCTCCATGATGGTGCTATGTGCAAATCAGTGATCAGGAGTTCTCTCTATAGGAAACCAAACTAGACCTTTTAGGGATGTAGCCTCTGAGAATGAAGATAAAAATCTATGACTTACATAACCTTCCAGAAGAGCCTGCTGCTATCACCAGGTCTGTAGCTGGTTGTGACTTAGTTTAGTTCCTTGACAGTCTTATGAAATGGATGAGCTCAAGTTAATATTAACAGGAGTATCACAGGTGCTGTTTCAGGATGACACAAGACAAGCTGCCAGCTTTATGCCATTCCTTGAGCTAGGTGTCAGACACAAATGGTGACACAGGAGACCTTGACACATCCTTCAGATATCCTTTTTCTCATGGAACTCAAATCAAAAGCAATTGTTCTTACCCTGGCTATGTATAATAACAACCTGAGGTTCTTCAAAAATACTCATGACTGGACTTCAGCTCCAGTCACTCTGATTGGACTAAACAATTTAATTACTTACCAAAAGTGAGCTGAGGATGGTTCTGGCTGCAGGGAAGCAGCCAGAAGCAGAAGAACCTGGAGGTTCCAAGAATAGTCAGTGTCTACCCTGGCCCCCCTCATACTCTTCCTAGGCTCCAAGTATTACTTTTCCTTTTATAAACTGAGATGGTGGTTTGGATATACGTTTGTCATATCTGTGGATTTCACAGAGCACAAATTAAATTTTGAGAGAGTAGATTCATCTATCTAAAGTCCCATTGTAATTAAGAAAACCTAAGTTCAGGAAGTCTGAGTGTACATTTATGCTGGGTGGGAAAGGCAGGCTGGAGAGATCAGGACATGCCTGTATGATGGAAAGGTTTCCCAGAGCAAGCACATGAGGTGAGGGGCAGTCTGAGATGGGACATACCAGTGTATCCAGGGTCCTTGGAAGCCATGGATGGGACATGACAAAACAGGAAGGCAGGAGGTGAGCTGGAATTGAGGGTTTGGCACATTGGAAGCCTGGATAAATTCCCATGGGAAAGAGCCAAGAATGAGTGGTTCTGGGGTGTTTGGCACCAATATCCTTGGGAACTAGTTGTTCACTTTTTGAAAATGTCTTATCACACTGGGAGTAAAAAAAAAAATTGGAGTAAACATACATAATAAAATGCCCAGCTCCTAAGTGCACATTTTCATTAATCATCACCAGCTGCACACACCTGAGCCCCATCTATCAGGAATCCACATTACTAGTGCCCAGAGATCATCTAACTATCTCTTGGATAGGCACATTCCTACTCTTCAATATATGGGAGATAGGACTCCAAAGAGCCTTCAGCCTGTCCTGGAAGTTTGTTCTTTGTATATTTTTCATATGCAAGTAATAACATGGGAGCAAATAGATTATTAAATAAGTTTTAGTTAGTGATATAACAGCAGATGTCAGGGAGAAGAACCAGTGGGCATAGGGAGAAAAGAGGTACTAAATTTGCTTATTAAAATCAGGGATAAGAGCATGGGGTTGTACCTCAGTGGTAGAGTGCTTGCCTAGCACATGTGAGGCCCTGGGTTTGATCCTCAGCACCACATAAAAATAAATACATAAAATAAAGGTATTGTGTTCATCTACAACTAAAAATATTTTTAAAAAATCAGGGATGGGGCCAGGGTTGTGGCTCAGTGGTAGAGCACTTGCCTAGCATGCATAAGGCACTGGGTTCATTCCCCGAAACCACATGAAAATAAAAACAAATAAAATAAAGGTATTGTGTCCATCTACAACTAATATATATATATATATATATATATATATATATATATATATATATATATATATATATATATATATATATATATATAAATCTGGGATCACTTCACCAGCACAGTCATATTTGAACTATGCTTTCCTTTTTTAAGGTTTAAAAGTTCAAAGACTATAGATAAGTACTGAAAATAATACAAGATGCAGATGCCAAAACTGCAATACAGAAAATGGTTATATATTCCCCTTATTCCTTGAGAAACAAGTAAAAATGAAATAAACAATTATAGGTATGACTGAATTCCTTGTTATTCTCTAACTCAATCTCATCACCACATTTTTCCCACTTAGAAGTAAGGATTTGGGCTGGGGATATAGCTCAGTTGATAGAGTGCTTGCCTAGCATCCACAAGGCCATGGGTTCAATCCCCAGCACCACACATACACACACACACACAAAAAAAAAACAGTAAGGATTAGCATGAATTTGGTATATATTTCCAGTTCTTACTTTTATACTTTTACTTCAAATATGTATATCCATGGATTGTTGAATCTTGCCTTTTAAATTCTTTTTTAAAAAATGTATACTTGACCAAAATAATTGTATCTATTTATAATGTACAATGTTTTGTTTTAGCATATGTATACATTTTGAAATGACTACTATAATGAAGCTGTTTAACGTACCGTACCATTACCTCACAAAGTTACCTTTTATTTCTATAATTCAGTACATTTAATATCTATTCTCCCAACAATTTTCATGTATACAATATATTATTATTACCTATAGTTGTCAAATTCAGAGTCAATAGAAATGAAAACTAGACCTGGAAAGAATTTAGGCAGAAACAAGACTTTCTTAGGGGCTTCTGCTTGAGAAAGAATGGAGAATAACTGAGAGAGTAAAGCAAAGGACAAAGTTTTATAGCTTCTAAGGTATTTATAGGGTAGGCAGAAACTTGGTCTCTTGATGTTATAACATATAGAGGTAGGATTTTTATTTGCACCTACTATGTTCTTCATCATGCCTCTTCATGCAGTGCATGTCTCATTGTCATTTTAAGTCTAAATGGGTATGTGTCTTAACATGTATAGTCTTTATTTTATTCCAGCAATGTTTTTTAGTTTTCAACATACAAGTCTTTCACCTTTATATTAGTCAATTTTAAGTTGCCAATAACACAGTAACACAGATTAATACAGATTAGACCATTTATAAAGAAAGGAAGTTTATTTTTGCTTATGATGGTGGTCTAAGACTGAGGGGTTGCATCTGGTGATGGTTTCTTGCTGGAAGAGTCCCAAGGAGGCACAGGTCATTTCATAACAAGAGATAGTGAGCATGCCTGTATATGTGTGTCTATTCTGATCTGTCACTCTTTTCTGATAAAGCCACCAAGATTCAATCATGGGGTCTCTATTTTAATGAACTTATATAATACTAATCACCTCTCAAATATTCCATTTTTTATTTGTCTTTTTAGATATACATGACAGAATAATGTGTTATACATACAGATTATACATACCTGGAGTATAACTTCCCATTCTTGTGGTTGTTCATGATGTGGAGTTTTACTGGTCATGTATTCACATATGTATATAGTAAAGCTATGTCTGATTCATTCTACTATCTTTCCTATTCTCACCCCCTCTTCCCTTCATTCCCCTTTGTCTAATTCAATGAACTTCTATTCTTCCCTCCCCTTGTGGTGTGTTAGCATCCATTTCTAAACACCATAATTGGATTGGATTGTCTATCCTCTTAACACCTAACAATGGGGTTTAAATTTCAACACATGAATCCTTGGATGACACACTCAAACCATATCCAAATCAATATGACTTCTTGGGTGACATGGAAATTGTGATTCCCCTGCCCCAGTCTACCCAGTAGCTGGGATTATAGTCATCTATCACCATATCCAGCTTCAGCTTGCTAGTATTTCATTGGTGATGATGAACTTTTACATTCATCAGGGATAATGGCTTGTAATTTTTTCCTTGTGGTGTCTTTGTTTGGCTGTGTTCCATTTGGTCTCATAAAATGAGTTTAAGCCTGTTCACTCCTTTCCTTTTTGGTGTGGGGAGAGTTTGAAATGGATTGGTACTAATTATTCCACAAATGTCTAGTAGGATTCACCAGTGATGTCATCTGGTCCTAGTTTTTTTTTTTTTTTTTTTTTTTTTTTGGATGAGAAGTTGCTAATTTCTGATTCACCCTCCTCATTAGTTATGTCTATTTAGATTTTCTATTTCTTCATGACTCAGTCTTACTGAGCTGTATGGTTCCAGGAATTTATTCATTTATTCTACATGATCAAATTTGTTGGAGTGAATTTATTCATAATAGTGTCTTCTAATCCACTTTTTTAAAACTAATTTTTATTTTTATGTGACAGCAGAATGCATTACTACACATACAGAGCACAATTTTTCATATCTCTGGTTTTATACAAAGTACATTCACACCAATTTGTGTCTTCATACATGTATTTGGATAATAATATCCATCATAGTCCACCATCATTTCTAACCCCATGCCCCCTCCCTTCCCCTCACACCCCTCTGCCCTATCTAGAGGTCATCTGTTCCTCCCATGCTCCCTCTCCCTACCCAACTATAAATCAGCATCCTTATATTAGAGAAAACATTTGGCATCTGGTTGTGGGAGATTGGCTAACTTGACTTAGCATTATCTTCTCTAACTCCATCCATTAACCTGCAAATGACATGATTTTATTTTCTCTTATTGTTGAGTAATATTCCATTATGTATATATGCCACATTTTTTATCCATTCATCTATTGAAGGGCATCTATGTTTTGCTATTGTGAATTGTGGTGCTATAAACATTGAGGTGGCTGTGTCCCTGTAGTATGCTGTTTTTAAGTCCTTTGGGTATAGACCGAGGAGAGGGACAGCTGGGTCAAATGGTGGTTCCATTCCAAGTTTTCCAAGAAATCTCCATACTGCTTTCCATATTGGCTGCACCAATTTGCAGTCCCACCAGCAGTATATGAGTATCCTTTTTCCCCCACATCCTTGCCAACACTTATTGCTGTTTGTCTTCATAATATCTGGCATTCTGACTGGAGTGACATGAAATCTTAGAGTAGTTTTGATTTCCATTTCTCTAATTGCTAGCGATGATGAACGTTTTTTCATATATTTGTTGATTCTATATCATCTTTTTTTAAAGAGAGAGAGAGAGAATTTTATTTATTTTTTAGTTGTAGTTGGACACAATATCTTTATTTTATTTATTTATTTTAATATGGTGCTGAGGGTCGAACCCAGGGCCTCACACATATGCTAGGCAAGCACGCTACCACAGAGCCACAATCCCAGCCCTGATTGTATATCATCTTCTGAGTCCTTGTCTGTTCAGGTCCTTGGTCCATTTAACAATTGAGTTTTTTGTTTTGTTTTGTTTTGTTTTTTAGTG